TTTTTTTTTTTTTTTTTTTTTTTTGCCTTTTCTTGTTTTCTTTTGATAATTCCCATTTGGAGAGTTTGAAATTACACGGAATATTCGGATAATTCATACATACGTATAATACATTTGAGGCGCAGCTAGTTGCTATAAACCTTACGTACAGCATAGTTAAAAAGTTCTACATGCGCTTCTCAAATCTGATTGTTATACCTACCTCCAAATGCCATGCTTTGAAGAAGAGGGTCTTTCTCTTGGTCGAGATCACCATATGATTTTGGTGTGAAGACAAAAGATGGCTTAGAAGCCACTGCTTCAAATTGTGCCACCTTAGCTGTTGCCCCAATGCCAAATGCGTAGATATTAACTCCATCACGTAGCAGGTTCTGAGCCTGGGCAACTGTTTGAGTTTGTTGCGTTGGGTTCCAAGCGCCACCGATTATGAACACGATGTCCTTTCGAGGAATACATTTTAATTYTAATTAATTCTATTTTCGAAGTTTGAAAAAATTAAGCGCAAAAATTATTGTCCTGCAAATTTTCTCTTCTTCCAGATTTTTGTGCATCACTCKCAATGGAGTAAAAGAGAATTTTATTAATTGCAAATATTTCTATTAAAACGTTAAAAAAAAGTAAAATAAAATATGACGTTTTGGCTATTCCTGCAATAGCCTTCATCAGAATTATGACTAAGTGTAAACATGAACTTCAGCTTCATGCCTGAATGCCAGACTTACCTTTCTAGCATCTGGTCGTCCACCGAATGGTTTAGTGAACAAGCTACGAGAAATTTGGAGGCCAAGGTGTGCGTTTTTCTGTAGTCCTCTTTCTCTTGGGATCTTTTCAATGAGATCTTCAATGTCTTCATTGGAGTATTGACTACCAGGAGCAAAGAACTCTGGTGGTGTGAAAGCTCTGCTCGCGCTGTCGCTGAACACCACGGCTCCAAAGTGAGTGCCCTCCGGTGACACGTGGAACGCATTGACAACTGCTTTCATGAACTGCTGAACGCGTGGCCAGTTAACTGTGTCTGAGGAATCGGCAACAAACACGATATCTCTGAAGTAACCACGACCTTTAGGGACAATAAGGAAACTAACTTAGAATCCAGCTTAGTCATTTTACACTCAAATCTTATAAAGTTTCCAAAACTTGGAAAATTAAAAGTAATAACAAAATGGACAGAATAAAAATGAAAGGACTGAGGAAAGGAGGAAGGAAGGGAGGGAGGTAGAACAGAAAGAGAGGGATAGATGTAGAAAAGATGGGAAAAAAGAACGAAAGGAGGGAGGGAAGAAGGGAGGAAGAAAGGAAAGGAGGACGAAGAAAATAGGACTATCACTTAATTTTCACCTTTGTTCAACATATCCCAAGAATAATAAATATAAAAAACATTACCTTTACTAACAGCTGGTGCCAGATATGCTGCAGCCGCATTCAAATTTCGGTAGTTTACTCTTGTAGCATAGTCTGTCTTGTATGCGATTCCCAGCATGTTTTCAGGTGATGCATTAGGTCCAACACCAACTGAATAGGTGTACACGCCCTTCTTATTTAGCCTTCTAGCGCTGTCTTCTGGGGCATTGTGAGGTTGGTCGGTAGCTTGAGGGCCAGTCATTATCACTAACATATACTATAAAACAAACAGGTAGTCATGGTCTACTTTAAGAACGACATTGTAATATTTTCTTATAAGGTTTAATGTTGAATATCCTTTGCCTGATTCAAATCAAGACTATGGTATTCAAACTGAACAGCAACACAAACAGTAATTACTAATTCACTAACGATGAAAGTAGAATCGTAAGCGTAAGTCGTCTCATGTTCCAGTGAAAATCAAAACATGGAGACGTAAGAAGAAGTGCAACATCGATGCAAGCAGAAGCAGAAGGAACGGTTCCTTTCTTATGCTTATGTCCTTTCGTTGCTAGTGAAAACCAGAAGCAGAAGCACTAAGTGAATTTATTTCCATTAGSCAAGTAGAATTGGAAATTCTTGTATAAAGACGTGGTTTTCATTTATTTTCCTTGTGCTTCAGTCACATTCATTTTCACTAGAACACAACAATCTTATGCTACGCTTCTGCTTCTGCTTGCGTCACTGTTGCGTCGCTGGTAAAAACTAGCCTTCAGAAAGGAAAATTTCTTAATTCGCAACATTTTGAGGTCTGAAATATATCATATCAAATCAAAATTCGAAGGCTTACCTTCTTCGCTCCCTCTCTTGCACCACCGCTTGGTGTAAAGAGACCAGTCTCAGCAAGCTCTAAGGCAAGGTCTATCCTCCTCTTGTTGCCCATCTTCCTTGGTGTYGTGTCAACAAGTGCAATAAATTGCTTAGTATTTATATTATCTCCAGAAAGACGTTTAAAGTTGAAATGTATTTCAGGTCTGGTAGCGTAGCTAATGAGGCCGAATCGAGTGCCCTGTGGGGTGGAGTTAACATTAGGGAATCTTCCAATGAAAGTTTTGATGAACTGAATAATATTGGCCCAGTTATTGGCACTGATGTCATCTGATGAGTCGACTAAAACCGCCACGTCCAGAGCATCGCCTAAAGAAACGGGGGAAAAAAAGAAAGAGAAAAATATTTTGTTAAAAATGGGCCAAACATCGATTCATTTTATTAACGCTAGCTATATAATACTAAAATATTTACCTGCTTTTAAAACAGGAGTCTTCTTGGCTTCTGCAAAAGAAAAATATGTAGTTATGATAAACCGATTCCACATTCATTGTTCTACTTCCCTAGGTGTTGTTGCTACGTGGGACAGACTTAAATGCTTTTGATATTCAGCAAGGRCMAGACACCGATTGCTGAAAATTGTAAATGTCTGTCTGAGAATCAATACATTCAAAAAGTACATTAAGAAACAATTCGATAACTACTACRCCAACCGGTTGGCTCAGTTGGTTGAGCATCGGACTTTCGTGCGGGAGGTCGTGGTTAGAGTCTTGGCCCGACCAACACTCAGGGTCTTAAAATAACTGAGAAGGTGCTGCCTTTGTTATTACATCTGCAAATGGTTAGACTTTCAAGTGGCTCGGATCACCACTTTAAATGGTGGTCCCGTCTCTCCACACTTACTAACCAACATTGGAGGGACGTAAAAGAACCACTGAGGACGTAAAGAAACCCTAGCAGTGACCACCCTCAGTGCCTACACCTCACACTAACCATCTCTAATTCATAAATCATTGTAAAGCGCCTTCGAGCATATCCATATGGAAAAGAGCGCTATATATATATATATATATATATATTATAATCATATCATACTAAAAAATCTCTTAAATTGGAGTTTATTGGTCTGACATTTTTTATTTCATTGTTAAAACTTTTTGTGTGGACACTCGGGCATAACAGCGATCGGACTATTATGTCCTTGCTTTCCTCGTTTAATATGTGCTGTTATTTTTGTGTTTATAAAGCAAAGTGTTTTCTTAACTTCTTTTGTTCGTGAAGCACATTTAATAATACAAACCTCCAAACACTATCGTCTCCAGTAAAGGCTTCCTTTGCTCAGGTAGAGCATCGTAAGTTTGTGGAGTAAACACATAAGTTGGACGACTAGCAACGCTTTCTAATTGAGCACGATCGAAAGGACTTCCAACGTTAATTGTGAATATCTTAGCCCTCATGGCTCTTAACTTTGTAGTTTCTACCGCCAAATTTCTGCTTGTCCATGATCCTCCAGACAGAACAATTACAACCTGCAATGATTAAAAATATATACACGTTACGAAATATATAATAACGTTTGGGCATTTAGGTTATTATGATTTAAAAACGATAAGATCAGTTCTATTTTAATTTCAGTTTAAACAGTAAATCCTTCTGGAGCGACCAAGGTATTCCGTTAAGCCGACGGTGCGCACTTTTCATTCCTGTTTCAATCAGTGCTTCGTTTAGGAGCATTTAAAGCTCAAGCTATATAGGACCGTCTAAAATTGATATCATAGAGAACAAAACCATAGGTTTTCAGATAAACGGGCAGCGTACAAAATTCCAACAAATATGGTTTTGATATTCACCTTTCTGGCTAAGGGTCTTCCACCAAACGATGGGGTTAGGGCACGTTGAGCCAGCTCCAATCCAAGATGAACGTTTCTTTGATTGCCTGACGCTCGTTGAGCTCCATCGATGGACCTTCTAACATCGTTCACGGAGTAGCTTGCCCCTGCTGAGGGGAACGRGAACCTTAGATTGGCTCCATTAGCGTAGACGACGTATGCGACGTGCGTTCCTGCTGGGGAGATGTCGAAGTAGTTCAACAACGATTTCGTAAAGCTCTTCATTGCGGCCCACTGCACATTGCTTGAAGAATCGACAACGAATACCAAATCGATTCCTCTTGATCCACCTTTGGGAGTAAATTAAAGTCGGTTAAAGGAACTCTTTGCATAATGGGCGTACAATCGAAAGGGTTAAGAAGGTTCTGATCACCCACCTTTAATTAGAAGTATAAGTGAATTTTCTTGATAGACCGATTTTGGTCAAGAAAGAAAGCACAAAAATGTAAAAAAGCGAGTACCAATAATAAAATTTTGAACGTTGCACAATGAATCAATCATTTTATTGAGAATCATTGCTGTGGTAGCAAGGGCGTCTGAATATTATACCATGTATGCTAAAAAAAGTCTTTTAATTTAAAAGTAATATTTACCCAAATTAATGATGGCGATGATGATTTTTGGAATACGATTCTTTATTGCAGTTGTGTTGTCAGTAATATGTATTTCTAGAGGAATAGACCAGCATTGTTGCGAACAAAGGAAGTACGATTTGTATGGAAATGAAACGTACATCTATTTGACTAAAACTTCCACACCTATCACAAACTGAGGATTTATTGCCCGGGGGGGATCCGGGAAAAAAATTCCGGGAAAGCTCGTCGTATCTCTTAGGGGTAAAAAATCGCGATTTGGTATCTTTTTAGGGTGTTAAATGCGAATTTTTAAAAATCAGCATTTTCTGGTATCTCTTATGGTGTCGGAAAAGGATATGGCTTATCCTAGGCGCTTTTTATATAAAATTTAATATTATTTGTTGTGGTATCTCTTAGGGGTTAAAAATCATTCAGCCACGCCCTTTTTTAAAGACTTCCGGTATCTTTTAGGGGTCTTTTTGAAAATTTCCGACGAGCATCCGAGCACTATTTTCCCGGAGTCCCCCCCTCCCCGGAGTTTATTAGTGGAAAACGGGTATCGCGGATTGGTAAGAAATACACGTTAAAAGCCTGGGTTTCGCTATGCTACCTTGTCGTASGGCTGCGCTTAAAGATGCAGCAGCAGGTCTCAGTTGCCTGTAGTCAGGAGTGAACGTGAGATCATCGGTATTTTGAGTCAGAGACATAACTTCAGGCTGATTCACTTGAGATCCAACGGCAATAGGGTATAATCGTACGCCATTAGCCAACAGTCGTTTAGTAATTAACGAGGGTTCTGTGTAAGGTGTATCAGTGGCCTGTCGCCCAGTCATCAACAACAACAAATACTATAAGAAAAACACAAAAGCTTATTAGAAAAAATAAAGTTAAGAAATAAATATTGTATGAAAAAATGACAATTCATAGTCAGATAATAATAATAATAATAATAATAATAA